TTTACAAATAGAACACATGCATTTGAACTAAGAATAAAGTTTTATTGCAAACTAAAGTATGTGTATGGATTAAATAAATAAAGGTGCATGTATAGTCCAAACTTAAGGTGTGGCCATGGGTTTGGCCATCACAGACAGTAAAATATATTTTCATCAATACACGGCCTAGCGTACTTCATTCACCCAGAATTCATTGCAGGGTAAACAAACAAGTGATGTCATTCTGAAAATATCTTATATAAATTTATAAAAATTAAACAACTAACAGTATTTTTAATGTTTTGTATTTACTTCAAAAATAAATATTTCTCAATTAAAATCTGTTCTTACAACTAAATGTGGATCCATTTAAAATACAACCATTAGTTATTTCCATTAATTTGACTATATTTCAGAGTTTGAGAAAAGTATGCCAGTATAGAAAAGAAACGTATAAATAAAAGCATTGAAATATGGTTTTGATCTTTTCAGTTAAATTCAAAGTTATTCCCACCCCGGTGGATTTAGATTGATCTGATTTTATTCTATCTAAAAATGGTTTGTTATTTAAAACCAGAATTGTATAACTGGGAGCAATAATAGCAATCTATGACTAACTGGAAAAAGGAAGGCCATAAAAACAGCAGAGTAAGAAAAGTGGACTGTGTGTCCTCTGGCAGCAGAAGCCCATAAGAATTTTCTGCATTGTTCTGATAAAGGATGCTTCAAATATTGACAAGAGGGATGAAATAGATTTAATGTTGGATTTTATTTAAGAAAAAAAAAGAGATTTTGAATGAAGAACTGTATTAACAAGCCTCTCTACACCGGAACCCCTTTAAAAAAAAGATATGGCTATAAAACTGAACCTTCATCCTACTTCATTTATGCCACAGCTGGTTACCTGACATTAGTTTTACCATGACTAATAATAAAACCATCTGTTTATTTGTAAAAATAAATCAATAAAAAGAAGAAAAACAACATTCTCCTGTGTTGCAAAATCTTGTATTTCAGCAAAATATAGAGAAAAACCCAAATGTTTATGGTAGTTTTTGTTTTTTCTTCTTCTTAAAAATCATTTCTGCTCTGGATGCAACCTGTGATGTAGGAAGAATATAAAATATTGAGGAATTTCTTTCTATCTCAAAAGGTTAACTGCATGTTTAAAAAGAGAAGGTAAAATAAAAAAGAATGTTTGTAGATATTCACACACTTTTTGCGTTTTCTACAATAACTTATAATGACTCAGGCTAAAAAGTTGACCCCAACATACATCTGCAATCGGATATTTTATCATAATCAAGTTAAAAGCTGATATAATTGGCTGGAGCACAT